GATGTAATTTGATATAATCTGAAACCTGAGTGTACCCTTAAAGCAACTTTTAATAAAATTATAGGGCAAAAACAAAGACTGAGCTTAAATCCATCAGTCAGGACTACCCATGACTCCAGCTGCACCTTTTCCTCCTTCATATCTTCGAGCAACTGAAAAGCAAGTAAAACATAACATCCTGTACACAAACTGAAGCTCTGAGGAGGGAACATCGTTCACAAAGGAGAGAAGCAAACAAGGCTAATTCATTCAAATTCTTTCTGCAGGTACAGCTCAACCTGACCTTGTTAAAAATGCTTAGAATAAAAAGAAATGGCATAGGACGTATGCGTAAATACTACAATAAGGAAGGGAAAGAGGACTGCAGGGAGAGAGGAAGGAGAGAGGAAAGGAGGGGAATGTGCAAACAACAAATGAAGAAGCCAGGCTGGAAGAAAAGATACTCCCAGAGACAGAAGACAAGTCTTCACAATCAATCATTTACTGCTAATGAGAAATTAAGGAGAACATGAAATCAGCAAAACGGGAAAGGCAACCTGAGATGACAAGCAGCCAGAAAGAGAAAAAAACGAACTCTCAGAGTTGAGGAAACACACTGAGAACCAAACATTTCTACGAAACAAAAAAATGAGAAGCAGTGAGGAACAGAATACACAGAGCTGTTAACTGACATCAGAACATTCAGGAATGGCTTCGGATAACTACAGAGAATCAGAGGCTAAAAACGGGGAGGGGACAGAAATTTAGACAATAAACTAAATCTTCTTCCCTAACATTAGCCATCTTGTTCCAGTAATTCTGCTGTTGCTCAAAATAGTTCTAGCATACCATTTCGACAATTACTTTTAAAACCAAGTTCTTTTTTTTATTAAATAAAAGGAAACCAGTTTTGTTTCTTTATTTTCATACCTCATTCTTAATCAAAAACAGTATTATCCAGCCTGGTAAAGTGCTTGGCACATAGTAAAAAACCCATTGCCATAGAGTCGATTCTGATTCCTGGTGACCTGTGTGTGTCGGAGTAGTCTGCACTCCATAAAGTTTTCACGGAGTCCCGGGGTGGCACAAAAGGTAGGCGGCAGTTCAGAGCAACCCAGAAGCCCCTCAGAAGAAAGGCCTGGTGATCTGCTTCCTAAAGGTCACAGCCATCAAAACCCTATGGAACGAAGTTCTACTCTGTACCCATAGGGTCACATGAGTCAGAATCAACTCAATGGTAACTGGTTTGGGTTTTTTTTTTAAATCTTACAGAAATAGATTGCCAAATCTTTCTTCTGAGGTGCCACTGGGTGGATTCGGACTGCCAAACTTTTGGTTAGCAGCCAAGCACAAATTGTTTGTGCCTCCTAGGGACCTTTTGGCACATAATAGGCAAATAATAATTGCTATAAATTATCTAGCACTTGGTAAAGTAGAGGGTCAACAAAAAAGAGGCAGACCCTCAAGGAGACGGATTGACACAGTAGCTGCAACAATGGGCTCAAGCACAGCGATTACGAGGATGGCGCGAGATCGGGCAGTGTTCGTTCTGTTGTACACAGGGTCGCTATAAAACGGAAGTGACTTGTCAGCACCTGACAACGACCACAAAGTAGCACTTATTATATCCCTGACACTCTTCTGAAACTATACATATATATACCCGTTGCCGTCGAGTCAGTTCCAACTCATAGCAACCCTATAGGACAGAGTAGAACTGCCCCATACGGTTTCCAAGGAGCGGCTGGCAGATTCAAACTGCCAACCTTTTGGTTAGCAGCCAAATGCTTAACTACTGTACCACCGGGGCCCCATACATACACACACACATATATATATATATGTGTGTGTGTATGTATGTGTCTATCACCCCCTATGAAATAATAATGGAGCAATGGTTAAGTGCTCCACTACTAATCAAAAGGTTGGCTGTTTGAACCCACCAGCCACTCCACGGGAGAAAGATACGGCAGTCAGCTTCCTTAATGATTTACAGCCTTGTAAACCCTATGGGGCAGTTCTACTCTGTCCTATAGGGTCGCCTATGAGTCAGAATCAGCTCCGTAGCAGTGGGTTTTTCTGCAAGGTCAAAGGAGAGGAACTTGGAACTAGGAGGACTGGAGGAGCCCCAGTCCAGCAAGGGTGTATCCTGGGGACAGGGAAGTGAGATATGGGAGCAGAAAGAGGAAGTTCAACAACCCCAGCATCTGCAGCAGGTTATAAAAACCTGAGTCACCCAGAAGCACCCATATGGGATGGGACAGCAAATAAGGTTCTGGTCTCCCGACTGTTAACAGTCATAGCCAGGGGGTGCGATATGGGAGTTCAAGACCCATCAGGATCAAGGCAGGTTTCTATCCAATCAGCATCTGTTGAGTACTGAGATGCACCTGCGTACACCCTAGGAAGAAGAAGCTGGCAGGGCCAGGCAGCTTTTCAGGGCCACTGCAACCAGGATTCAGATCCAGGATCTAGTCCTTGCAGAAAACCACGTGGAAATTTGACCAGAAGCCCAGTCCAATGGACGAGCATCCCCAGAAGGACAAAGGGGCTTCCCTAGAACATCAGTGCCTGGGCTCAGCCCAAAGCCAACCGAGGAGACAGAGCCCCTGACACCCTTCGGATTGGTCCAAACTGGCCTCAGTCTGCAATCCTTAAGCGCCTGCAGAGGAGACAGATTGAGGAAGCAGGGCGCACTCTGCGGTTCCCTGCTGAAAATAACCTTGTACCACTCATGTGAGGGAGCTTGACCATAGCAATCAGTTGCAAACAAGTCAGCTCTGACTCATGGCGACCCCATGTGTGTCAGAGTCAGACTGTGCTCCATAGAGTTTTTAACAGCTGAGTTTTCAGAAGTAGATCACCAGGCCTTTCTTCCAAGGCACCTCTGGGTGGACTCGAACCATCAACCTTTTGGTTAGCAGCCGAGTGTGTTAACTGTCAGCACCGCCCAGAGACTCCTTGGCCATAGTAGGCCAGTTAAAAAAAAAAAAAAAAGAGTTACGTACAATCTCATAAAATCAGACATTATCGGTAGTCCCTGTTTATTCAAACTAACTGCTTAGAAACCTTATTAAGAAGATTTTTAATTTTTTACTGGATTTTCTTTATTGTACTTTAGATGAAGGTTTACAGGACTAGCTTCTCATTAAACAGTTAGTACACATATTGCTTTATGACATTGGTTAACAACCCCATGACATGTCAACACTCTCCCTTGTCGACCTTGGGTTCCCTATTACCAGCTTTCCTGTCCCCTCCTGCCTTCTAGTCCTTGCCCCCGGGTTGGTGTGCCCCATTAGTCTCGTTTTGTTTTATGGGCCTGTCTAATCTTGGGCTGAAGGGTGAATCTCAGGAGTGACTTCATTACTGAGCTAAAAGGGTGTCCGGGGGCCATACTCTTGGAGTTTCTCTGGTCTCTGTCAGGCCAGTAAATCTGGTTTCTTTGTGTGTGAATTAGAATTTTCTACATTTTTCTCCAGCTCTGTCTGGGACCCTTTATTGTGATCCCTGTCAGAGCAGTCAGTGGTGGTAGCCAGGCACCATCTAGTTGTACTGGACTCAGTCTGCTGGAGGCCGTGATAGTTGTGGTCCATTAGTCCTTTGGACTAATCTTTCCTTTGTATCTTTAGTTTTCTTCATTCTCCCTTGTTCCTGCAAGGGTGAGACCACGGAAGAACCTTTCCAAAGATAACACCGTCCTTGTCAATTATCTTTACTTTCCGAGATGCATTCCCTGGAGCTAAAATGCCATGGCCCTCGCTTGGAGAGCCTCCCTGCACACAGCTGTCTTATTCTTTTGGAATTTACCTTAAGAAAAGAACTATAAAAGATAACCAGGCTTGAAAAAAAGGAGAAAAAATGAAAGGTGATAGGCAGTGGATCTTAACAGAGATGCAGCCATTCTTTAAAAGAAAGATATTAAATGCTCTCTCTTTGAAAATGAATTTGAATATTACATGCACCTGTATTAAAGAGTAAACACCAGAAATGATGGGACATATACCAGGTCCTATCATTTAATTGAAAATTTTTCTTACAGGTAAGGATGGGTAGAATTAGCATGCTTTCACCCACCCACAAATGTGACTCTAAGAATTTCCTCCCTCCACAAAATGCTCTAAAGAACAGCCATCCCCACCCCCAGCCCTCATTGGAATAGGACACTTCTCCAGATCTCTATCTTTTTTAAACTCTACTCCTCCTCAGGTCTCACTGAAGAAGGGAGAAAGAGTAGTTGAGAGAGACACAGAGATGGGAGGTGATGTAAATGTTTACAAAAGGCTGCTATACATAACAGATTTTTTTAGATTTGTCACGCGAATGTAAAAGAGTGAAAAATAATATTACAATATCTGTATGTTTGCAAAGGGTTTCCTGTTATTGGGGGTGTATTTATCCTCAAATGGTCAGAAACCTAAATAGAAAGTGCAACAGTATTTTTTAAAAATAGTTATTCAGACACAAGTATTTACTGCATGCAGCACTTAATCACACACACACACACACACACAAATTACTAATACAGGTATTGCAAAAATGCATTGAGGAACGTCTCTTCCGCAAAGTCAAAACCCCTACTGTCATTCCTTAGCGAAAGATGCCTTTTCCACAATCTTGCCTGCCAGCCTCCCACACACTTTGCGCAGAGATGCCTGCGCCAGGTGCTTAGAGTTTTGATTTTTTTTTTTTTTTTTTTTTTTAAGATTGGGTTCTTCGGTTTAATTGTGAGCTGTTTCTATGAGATGTGACTTTCCTAATCCTATGGGTGCACCGTGTCCACCCAGTAACACAACTTCCTCGGTGTGCGGTGTGCCGACAAGACCTTGTAAATGAATACCATGTAAAACCAAGTCTGATGAAATGTGTGATCACTTCTTTGCCTCTCCTGAATTAGCAGGTAACAGTAACCGTCAGACCCCGCAGTACGAGGTCCCCAAGAGTGAGCGGCGAGCACCGCCCGCCCGCGCGCTCCGCCACAGCACCAGGCTCTCCGCGCGCCACCTTCCCGCGGCCCTTACCGTGCGCCGGGCCATCCCTGGGCCGCCCGGTGGGGCCAGACACCTGCTGCGGGCTCAGCGCTGCATCCCAGGGGGCTGAGGCGGCGGTTGGCGGCTCGGTCCTCCACCGGGCCGCGCGCCGGCGGAGGATGGTGCTTTCCCCTCCGCCCCGCATTGAGAGGTGGGCGGAGCAGCGCGGCGATGCGCACATGCAATCTGATAGGTGAAGAGGCCCGCGAGGCGGGGAGGCTGGAGTTGGGGAGGGCGCCCCGAACCTCTGCCGCCCTGAACCTCGGCCGCAGCTGCTCTAGACTCGCTAAAGCGGCAAAGCGCCGGCCACTCCAAGGAGAGGCAGAAACTGTCTGCAAATGCTCAGCCTCGGATCCCCGATGTTAGGCGTTATCTTCCCCCATTACCAGAAAGCCGCGGAGATGGAATTTGCTCAGATCCCCTTAGGCCCCTTTTTGGGTTTAGGGTCCTGCTCTTCCAGGAGATGGTCCCAAAGTTAACTTTGAGTCTACTTGCCGGTAGAGTGACAGCAGCGGCGGGCCTGCACATCTCAAACCCCCTTTTAGAAAAAAGATGCTATTTTCATAGCAAACGGTTTGGTTTTGAGCCATGCTTCAAGGTCAAAGAATGGAATGGAGGATTTATGGGGGCTGTTTGATGAAATCGGCTGCCAACCAAAAGGTCAGCAGTTCGATTCCACCAGCTTCTCCTTGGAAACCATATGGTGCGGTTCTACTCTGTCCTGTCGGGTCGCTATGAGTCGGAATCGACTTGACGGCAACGGGATTTTGGTTTTTTCATGTTCTCAGGATTTACCCAGTCTTCTAGCAGATGCGTAAGAAAAAAGCAGAATCATTTAAGCGAAAGCAAGAGGCTGGAAAGCAGGTGCGCTGGGGTTGGCGGGGTGGGTGCGGGGCGTGGTGAAGAGTCTGGAGTAAGAGCATAGTAACAGTGTAGCGCATTCACCAGCTTGGAGGATGGGGCTCCCACGCGCTTCTCCTCTGCTTTCATACAGCTCTGTTTCTGGAGGTAACCACAGGGGCTGCGTCTGGGGAGTTGGCGGGAGGCAACAGCAGGCAGCCACTAGATAAGACTGGCCCCTCCCAGACGTGAATTAGATAAAGCCTGCAGTCCACCACCACCCTTCTTCCCTCCAAAGCCCCGCCCTGTTCCACTCCAAGGCCTGCCTACCTTTCCCTGCATCTCCATTTGCCAGGGGGTCTGTATGAAGCAGCACATCACCCCTCTGTCAGCCACCCACACCTTAGCCCAGACAGCTCACCACAGCTTCCAGCGCCCTGAGGGACTGTGACACAGGGCAAAAAGAAAAGAAAAAAAAAAAGCCTACTGCTGTCCAGTCAGTGGACTCATGGTGAACCCATGTGTTCAGAGTAGAACTGCCCCATAGGGTTTTCTTGGCTGTAATCTTTATGGAAGCAGATCACCAGGCCTTTCTTCTGCAGCACTGCTGGGTAGGTTCAAACCACCAATTTTTAGGTTAGTAGTCTATCTCAAACCCAGGGACCTTCTGATACAGGGCAGATGTTTAATGGAGGTGAGGGGAGCAAAGAAAGAGGAGGACCCAGTGCAAGGAACCTGGAGAGGACAAGCTGAGGGACTGCCACACAGTGGGGGTAGGGAGGCCAGGGTAAAGGCAGAGGCCACTGGGCACCTGGTTTGGAGGGTGTGAGGGCTCTGCAGGGAGATAACGTTCGAGCTGAGACCTGAATAATGAACAGGCTTCGGGAAGGTAAGGAGAGAACATTCCAGGCAAAGGCCCTAGGGCCGGAATTTACCAACCAAGGCGCAATGCCTTAGCGTGTATAAAGAGGCTAATGGCATCTCCCAGGAGGGTTCTTGTGCAGGTCAGGTAGATTAAGGTGAACAAATGTTTAGTTCAGTGAGCACCCTGAGAGTTGGGCTCGACCAGCACGAGCTTGGACACAGCAATCAGGAAAGGAAGCCACTTGTCCATCAGAGCCCCTGGGTGGTGCATATGCTTTGCACTGTACTACTAACCAGACGTTTGATGGTTCAAACCCACCCAGCAGTGCTGCAGAAGAAATTCCTGGAGATTTGCATGCATAAAGATTACAGCCAAGAAAACCCTATGGAGCAGTTCTACTCTGTAGCACATGGGGTCTCCATGAGTCAAAATCAACTCGACGGCCACGGGTCTGGGCTGATCTGTCTGTCCCCTGGACCAGGGCTCACGGTTTAAAGCTTAGATGTGGGAAGACTTCAGGCAGGTGGTCTGCCCTGTCCCCTTCACAGTGGGCATGGGTCTCACCTGTGACACGTGGAAGTGCTCCTGCTAGGGGATGGCTTTTGCAGAGGCAGCAACACCTCTTCCCCCTCTATCACCGCCATTGTCCTATCCACAACAGGGACCAAGGACAGCCAGGGACAAAACTGCCCGGCCTTCCGAGAGGTGGCAAGGACACTAACAGAGTTTCTCAACCTCAGCAGCGTTGGCATTTTGGATCAGATAATTCTTTGTTGAAGGTCCCTAGGCGGTGCAAACAGTTTGTACTGGACTGCTGCTAACCTAAAGGTTGGTGGTTCAAACCCACCCAGCGGTACCATGGAAAAAAAGGCCTGGCAATCTGCTTCCATTAAGATTACAGCCAAGAAAACCCTTTGAAGCAGTTCCACTCTGTAACACATGGGGTTGCCATGAATCAGAATCAACTTCACGGCATCACCAACAACAACTCCTTGTTGGGGGGGGGGGCGCTGTCCTGTGCACTGTAGGATGTTTAACAGCATCCTTGGCCTCTAACCACTAGATAGCAGTAGCACCCCACGCCCATTTGTAACAACCAAAAATATCTCCAAACATTGCCCAATGTTCCTTGAGGGACAAAGTAGTCCTGATTGAGAACCATTACTCTCCAAGGAGGGAATGAGACCCAGCCATAGAGAACTATATTGTAGTAGTGTCAGAACTTAGTTAAATTCCCAAGGAATAATAAGAATTAGGATCAGCACAAAACTGGTTCCTGTGGGGCAGAGGTCAAACATAACTCGGCTCTCCCATTTCTTCACCATTTTTGACACCAGCCATCCCCCCTCACAGCACTCTTTACTTTTCTGCTGGGTTTGATAATTCATTGCAGTGGCCACACAGAACTCACAGACCATACTTACAGTTAAGTTGTTTATTAAGGAAGTAACAGGCTATAACTCGGGATCAGGATCAACTTGGAGGTGACAGGCTATGACCCAGAATCGGGATCAGGAAGCACATAGGCAAGATCTGTAAGGTTCCTCTGAGGTGGAGAGCACATCTGTTATGGATTGAATTGTGTCCCCCAAAAATGCGTGTCAACTTGGCTAGGTCATGATTCCCAGTATTGTGTGGTTGTCCACCATTTTGTCATCTGATGTGATTATCCTATGTGCTGTAAATCCTAACCTCTATGATGTTAATGAGGCAGGATTAGAGGCAGTTATGTTAATAAGGCAGGACTCAATCTACAGGATTAGATTGTATCTTCAGTCAATCTCTTTTGAGAGATAAAAGAGAGAATCTAGCAGAGAGGAGAGGGACCTCATTACTACTAAGCAAGAAGAGCCAGGAGCATGCACATCCTTTGGACCAAGGGTCCCTGTGCTGAGACGCTCCTAGACCAGGGGAAGACTGATGACAAGGACCTTCCCCCAGAGCCAACAGAGAGAGAGAGCCTTCCCCTGAAGCTGGCACCCTGAATTCGGACTTCTAACCTCCTAAACTGTGAGAGAATAAATTTCTGTTTGTTAAAGCCATCCACTTGTGGTATTTCTGCTATAGCAGCACTAGATAACTAAGACAACATCCCTCCTTTCTTCGGTGCAGAGCAGTTTCCAACCAGTGCAGCTCATTCAGGACTTTCTCAGCCATGCCAGCAGGCAGGCCATACTCTCCTCTCTGCCATACAAGCAGGTCACCCTTCCTCTTGGCCATGCACAACTCCTCTTGGCCCTACACACACTCTTTTGGCTCCCTCAGGACAGACCTTCTCTTGACTCCCTTAGGACAGGCCTTTTCTTGGCCACGCACGCTCCCTTTTGGCCGTGCACACCCCCTCTCAGCTGTGCAGGCCTCTCTGCCTTCAACCTCTCCATTGCAAACTGGCCCAGCTCATAGCCAGTGTAGCAGCTTACTCAGCTCTCTTAGCTGCTTTCACTAGCAGCAAATTTCTGCTGTCACCACTAACTCTGCTTTAGGGCCTCTTCCACGCCTGTCACCACCAGCTCTGCCACAGGACCCCTTGTAGGCTCCTCACCGTCTTCAGTGTTACAGCCTTTGACCAGTGTTACAGCTCTTTTAGGAGGTTCTTTACCTCCTCTCTCTGCTTCTTCCCTCTTCTCCCTTCTGTCTTTTTGTCTCTGAAAACCTCTGTGAAGTTGGCTGCTTATATAAGCAAACTCCTTGTTAATTTCAAAGCATGGCCCTCCCATCAGAACCACAAACTGACCAATCCCCTCCGTGGACCACAAATCACTCAATTTGCATAGTAAATCAACCAGTCCCTGCAAGGTGCATAAAACAGACGAATCACAGGGCAGACTGCAGCCTAGGGCTAGACAAAATTATCAAACCATCAAGTTGTTTACAGCTTACCCACGAAACAACAATCAACTGGACAAAAGCAACAAATCTTCTGGGGTAGAAAAATAAGGCAAAGGTAACTCCTCAGGGTTTAGGGAGAAAAAAAATCTCTCAAGCTGTTTTTCCAAAGAACCAAGGCAAAAGGCCACATAAAGGAACTCATTTCACCACAAGAACATATTTATCAATGATGGCCCTATGGAAAAGGGCCGTGTATCAGAGATTGAAAGGTGATATTCCATGCCTCTGGCCAATCTCACCTGCTGCCACTCCTCCCAGCTCTCTTGTCTCCAGTGATACCAGCCTTCCTGGTGCTCCTGGAACAGGCAAAGCTCACTTCCATCCCAGGATCTGCATACCTCCTCTCCCCTGTGCCTGGAATGTTCCTCCCCTAGATGTTCATGGGACTCTCCCAGCTTCACTCAGATCTCTACTCAGATACAACCTCTCAGACAGGCCTGCACACTCCCATACCCTCCGCCCTTTGCTATCTGACGTTACAGGGTGCATTTCCTCTTTCTTTGTTATCTGTCTCCCACCAGA